ATTACAGCGTGCATGTGATCGTAGTGCACGTCTGCGGAAACAGACTCGCTCTCTGAATTCGGTGAAGCAGAAACTATCGATCAGCGAGCAGCTGATCAGACTGCAGTCAGGTGATCGACAGACTGCTCGGGGAGAAGATAACTCTGGTCGAACACAGACGGCAGGGAAAACTCCACCGACTCATTATAGACAAGGACATCAGATACTGACTCAAACGGCCGGACCGGGTCTCGGTCAGCAGGACGCTGGGCTCGGATCAGCGCCCAGAGCCCAGGTATCGAGCTGAAGAAGAGGGACGAGTGCGTCGCAGGTTACAGATGAATCAGCTGATGACAGATCGAACGTCTCCAGATATAAACACAGAACAGCTGAGGAGGCTCAGGGGAAAGAGATTTCCACTGAAATTAGAGCTTCATTTATAACCACAGAAATAAGCAGCTGCGCAAAGAGGAGCTCGCCGCTGCCTTGGCGGTTTGCCTTTACAGTCACCTGATCTCTGTTTCACACCTGCAGCGTGTGAGACGAGGCTCTGCAGCCGAAGGGATGCAGTCTGCCCTCTGGTTCTGTCTCTCTGCTGGACTCGGCTCTGGATCTCAGCGAGACCACCTGATTAAATAAAGCTGCCGTCTAGAAACAAGAGGACATGTGGTGCTTCATCCCTCCAGCAGAGCTCCACAGACCTGGACCCTGAAGCTGGTCTGGAGGCTCGTGGTGGTCCGACTCCACACAGACAAATAATCAGGTCACTGTAACTCAAAGGGATTCTTCAGGTCCCGGCTTTTCTTTGCGGTCTTCAGCAGTAAGGCGTCACTGAGACGAGTTTATGTGAACTACGAATCGTTCATGTAGAAAATAATCAGAAGGTTAATCAGTGAGCTGCAGCCCCGCCCTCTGACACTCATCTGAAGCGTGTTTACAACAAAATGACAGACGTGTAAACTAAAGTGTTACTGAGCAACAAGACAACAGCAGCAGCAGTTTGACAGAGACGTGGAGTCACGTTCAGCCTCTCGGACGCTGTAAACAAAGCTAACTGCTAACAGGCTAACAGCCGCCGCTTCAGTCAGACTGAACCTGAGCTCTGAATCTGCTGAGTCGTGGAAACGTCTCATGTTTAAGGTGTGCAGAGTCGTGTTTATTAAAAGGCGGGTTGGATGCTTCAGTATTTTACCTCTGTGAGAGAAAAACAAACATTTGAGTTTGTTTCAGGATCGTACAGAAACTCACACAGCTTTAACTCACAGCATTTAAGCTTCTGCATTTTCAGAGGACAAAGTTCAAAGTGCAGCTACAAAGAGTTTGTGCAGACGCAGCTGCTGATCACCGATCAATGAAACCTCTCACCTCTAGACAGGAAGCAATCAGTAATTACAGGAAGCAACTACAGGAACGTGAAAACACACGCAGAACTGAAAGTCCTGCTGGTGATAAAGCACGTATCCAACTGACTAATCAATAAGCTGATCAGCAGAAAATGAACCTGCAACCAGCTGAGGAACCAACCAAATCTGCAGATGGATCCTGAGCGTCCAGCGTCTCCTCACAGAAGAGACAACCAACACTTACTATTAATTAACCTGCAGATTATTTTCTTTTTTAAATGATTAATTGATTTGTGTACAGAAAAGGAGTTTGAGGAGACGTCTTCAAATGTCTCGTTACTGAGACCGGACGCAGAGAAACTGAAGCCTCGTCATAACTGATAAACAGACGTAGAAACGATGAAACAGTTCGATCTGAAGAAACTCAGACCAGACTACAGCTGCAACTAGCGATTATTTTCACTGTCCATTAATCCATCAGTTGCTTAGTTTATAAAATGTCCATCAGTGTTTCCCAAAGCTCCTCTAACGCCTTGTTCTGCCCACAACCCAAATATATTCAGTTCACTGTCATAGAGGAGGAAATAAACCAGAACACGTTCACATTTAAGAAGCTGGACTCAAACAGATTCATCGATTATTAAAACAGCTGATGATTCTTTTAATAGCTAAAGACTAATCGACGAACCGATCCAATACTGTCCTCCTGAGAACATCTGGGTTTCACCGTCAGGTGCTGAATCTGATCAGAACCAGGATGTGAATGCAGACAGAACCACTCGTACTGAAAACACACACAGCCGTTTGGTGGACGTGTTAAACTATTAGCTGATTAATCTGAAGGTAATCGATTGATTATTAAAGACAGCAGCTGCTGTTCTGTTGGTTTTGGGTCTACTATGATCATAACTGCAGGTTAGCATCCACACAGCTGGTTTCAATCCTCCAGAGTTAACCAGCTCTGACTAACCTGCAGCCTGAAGCTAACAGCCCAGCTAGCCTGAAGCTAACAGCCCAGCTAGCCTGAAGCTAACAGCCCAGCTAGCCTGAAGCTAACAGCCCAGCTAGCCTGAAGCTAACAGCCCAGCTAGCTTCACATAGCTGCAGTAAACTTCAGTCTGAGGCCTCTGCTTCACCTCCAGACTGTCTGACAGCTAATGACAATTAGCACTTAGCAGGTAAACGACAGGTAATGTGAAGCCCCAGTCTGTTAAATCTTCCAAAGAGACGCCTTTCAGCAAAGGAACAAACAAACAAACAAGCAGCGCTGCCTTCCCGACAACTAATCAACAAACTTCGCTAGCCACGGCGCTAGTTAGCATGCTACTAGCTGCGGCCATCTGAAACCATGAAACACCTGGCTAACTGACTAGCCTGTGAGGCTAACCAACGTCCAGAGAGGGCTGAGAGGAAGGAAAACAGCGCGTCGATATGTCAACAGAACAAAAGTGATTTCGCAGTAAAGACCGTGTTTGTTTCCTCCCAGACAGACAGGCAGGCAGCAGCTAGCAGCAGCTAGCAGCAGAGCTAACAGGAGAGGCCGAGGGTCAAACTAACCTGAAGGAAGAAATCTCTCTGTCCGCGGGAGAAAAAGCTGCTGGCAGCGACCAGAACCGCCGGACTCTTGTTCCCGGGTTCGTCACGTTAACGTGAAACCCTCCAGCTGTCGGCTCCTTCAGTCAGCTGCTCATTACATGATGTTTTAAAAGGTTAAATCTCGGTTTGAACGGAGCTCCGCTGCTGCTGAACCTGCCTGTTCACTTACTAACAACTACTGACCGAGAACAGCGACGTGCGGCTGGAGCAGCTGCGTCATGACGTAGTCAAGTCTGCCAAAGATCGTCTACGTCAAACAAGATGGCGTTCAAATGTGAACACCTTTATTTATCTTTCCGTTTTGAATTTCCTTTCACAAGGTTTGATTTTGGCTTCCATTTATGATGTCTGAGTATTAGGGTCACATTAAGGAAAGATAATTGAGGAGGAAGATATTTCATTTATTTTGTCATTTAAACTTTATTCTCGAAATGCAAAACAAATCTTCATCCTCAGTTTTCTTTCCTTAATGTGACCCTCATACACCGCCGTACTAAGAGGCCATACATCCATACATTATGTTTACTCCTTTTTCCCAGGATAACAAGTTTATTAAATTTGTTTTCTTTAAATCTCGAGTCAATTATGTCATTATCTCAAAATAACAAATGTTGTTCTCACAAGATAACCGGATCATTTTCTTGAGATCTCGAGATCAAGAAACTTTGTTTTCCCGAGATAATGACATAATTAATTTGAGATCTCATGAAAATCAAACGATGGTCTCTTATATAACTACTGTACTCAGGATATGCGGTTGAGGATGGATGGATGAAGTGGAGCGAGATGCAGCCTGTATTCTTTTGCATTCTGTTGTGGATCAATATAAATAAATAAATACATTTGAATGTAAAATTAAGGGTTTATATCACAACAAACATCTTCCTTCCTTAAGACTACCCCCAAACAGAAAAGCACGTGTACATTAAACTTGTTCTGTTTTATTTATACTCTTTTATTAGTTCATATTGTTGTTATTTATTTAATATGTTTTTATGATTACCTATTTATATACTTTATGAAAAAGTAATTATCAGCACTATAAAGCGGTTCAGGTTTGTGACATGATGAAAGTCTCACAGTGTTTTTGGTTCACAGCAACAGAGAGATACCTCCTGTTGATCAATAATCAATAATCTATCTGTGAGCTGACTTCAGATTTAACAACAACAACAACAAGACAAAAACCTGCTGCAGGTTTCCCAGAACCAGGAGAACTGGGAGAACCAGCAGCCCGGGTTCAAAGGTCACATTCAAGACAGTCGGGGTGCAACCAGAGCAGATTTACTGATCAGAGCGATCTGTCTGAGACGCCAATCAGATGAACAAAATGGACTCTTTTTTTAAAGAGGTGTTGGTATCATGATCATGTTCATATTGCTTATTCAGGGGTTGTACCAGAGCAGGTTTACATGGTTATATTTTAGTCGTCCTGCACGTTGCTGCAGCTCCTCTTTTCACCCTGTGGAAAGCGGAAGTAAAGGCTGGACTACAAACGAGCTGTTTTCAGTCAGCAGAGTTTTCTGTGGGAGATGGGAACTCCCTTTGGGCTTTTTCACTTTGCACACTTATTACATGCACAAAAAAGGTTTATAACTCAATAAAGGAGAGGGGAAAAGGCAAAAAGCAGAATACCACCTCTTTGATAAAGAAATATTCTCCTTTCCTTCACCGCCTCCTACCTTTCCTTTTTCAAAATATAAGATATCTCTGGTTCTGCTGCATCAATTTTTATCTTTTTAAAAAAAAAAAAAGTCAATAATGAGTCTATCAGTTTTACAGGAGAGTGATGAACAGAACCAGGTCAGTACTACATTAAAACATGTTGTGTTCTTTGTTGTTCATGTTATTCATACCAGAGTTTTTGTTTATTTAAAGTGATGATGATGATGATGATGATGATGATGATGATGATGACGTCTGTGGAATAATCTGATTTATTATACACCAAAATACTGTAACCCTATTGGTCTGTTTACACTGGAGGGGGGGGGGGGTCACCACTGCAGCACTGATGGAATCTGCAGAGGTCGGAGGTCGAGGTTTAGTCCTGTCCTGCTGTACTGAGACAAACTGACAAACTTTTACCAAAGATTAACCCTTTATTTATAGGAGTCAAACAGAAGAAAAGAAGTACGAGAGGATCTACTGCAGATCCTTCTGCAATTGGTTGTGTATAAAAGAACAAGAGTCAGCTACAGATCTACTCAAGATATATTTTCAATTGGATCTACTGGTGATCATCTACAATAATTTACGGAAGATGTTCTCTGGATCTATAGGGATCATCTGTAAATCGACAGTTCCTTTGGAAGATCCACCAACACTTTTTCTTTAGGTCTATTATCTAATGATGATCTTCTGTAAATCTACAGAGGATCTTCCGTGGATTAACTGAGAATCTTCTGTGGATCCACCAGTAGATCCCTGGTGGATTTCCAATAAATCCATGGTGGATTACCAGGAATCCCCAGCAGATCTCTGGCGAATCCCAGCAGATCTCTGGTGAACCCCCAATAGATCTCAACGGATCTCTGGTTGATCCCCAGGAGATCTCTGGTGATTCCCAAGCAGATCCCTAGTGGATCCCCAGTAGATCTCTGGTGGATCCCCAGTTGATCTCTACAGATCTCTGGTTGATCCCCAGTAGATCTCCGGTTGATCCCCAGTAGATCTCTGGTGGATCCCTGGTTGATCCCCAGTAGATCTCTGGTGGATCCCTGGTTGATCCCAGTAGATCTCCGGTGGATCCCCAGTAGATCTCCGGTGGATCCCCAGTAGATCTCCGGTGGATCCCCAGTAGATCTCCGGTGGATCCCCAGTAGATCTCTACAGATCTCCGGTGGATCCCCAGTAGATCTCTACAGATCTCCGGTTGATCCCCAGTAGATCTCTGGTGGATCCCTGGTTGATCCCCAGTAGATCTCTGGTGGATCCCTGGTTGATCCCCAGTAGATCTCCGGTGGATCCCCAGTAGATCTCCGGTGGATCCCCAGTAGATCTCCGGTGGATCCCCAGTAGATCTCCGGTGGATCCCCAGTAGATCTCTACAGATCTCTGGTGGATCCCCAGTAGATCTCTACAGATCTCTGGTGGATCCCCAGTAGATCTCTACAGATCTCCGGTGGATCCCCAGTAGATCTCTACAGATCTCCGGTGGATCCCCAGTAGATCTCTACAGATCTCCGGTGGATCCCCAGTAGATCTCTACAGATCTCTGGTTGATCCCCAGTAGATCTCTGGTGGATCCCCGGTAGATCCCCAGTAGATCTCTGGTGGATCCCCGGTAGATCCCCAGTAGATCTCTGGTGGATCCCCAGTAGATCTCTGGTGGATCCCCAGTAGATCTCTACAGATCTCTGGTTGATCCCCAGTAGATCTCTGGTGGATCCCCAGTAGATCTCTGGTGGATCCCCAGTAGATCTCTACAGATCTCTGGTGGATCCCCAGTAGATCTCTGGTGGATCCCCAGTAGATCTCTACAGATCTCTGGTTGATCCCCAGTAGATCTCCGGTGGATCCCCAGTAGATCTCTACAGATCTCTGGTTGATCCCCAGTAGATCTCCGGTGGATCCCCAGTAGATCTCTACAGATCTCTGGTTGATCCCCAGTAGATCTCTGGTGGATCCCCGGTGGATCCCCAGTAGATCTCTGGTGGATCCCCGGTAGATCCCCAGTAGATCTCTGGTGGATCCCCGGTAGATCCCCAGTAGATCTCTGGTGGATCCCCGGTAGATCCCCAGTAGATCTCTGGTGGATCCCCGGTAGATCCCCAGTAGATCTCTGGTGGATCCCCAGTAGATCCCCAGTAGATCTCTGGTGGATCCCCGGTAGATCCCCAGTAGATCTCTGGTGGATCCCCGGTAGATCCCCAGTAGATCTCTGGTGGATCCCCAGTAGATCTCTACAGATCTCTGGTGGATCCCCAGTAGATCTCTACAGATCTCTGGTGGATCCCCAGTAGATCTCTACAGATCTCTGGTTGATCCCCAGTAGATCTCTGGTGGATTCCCAGTAGATCTCTGGTGGGTCTCCAGCAGATCTCTGGTGGATTTACAGTAAATCTCTGGTGGATCAGCAGTAGATCTCTGGCGGATCATTTATGGATCTCCAGTGGATCAATGATTGATATTCTGTAGTATTGTGGTGGATCTCCTGTAGATCCACAGATGACCCCCCACAGATCGGTGGTGCATCTCCAGTGGATCCTAGTAGGTCTGTGGTGGATCTGGTGACCTGCCTCAAGGCAGAGTCTCCATGTTGACCCTGGACAGGGTGAGATCGTAGTAGATGGAGAGTTGGTTGATGGCTCTCAGGTTAGTGACCCGGTGTTGGAACGTCAGCAGGTGAGTGTTGTTGACGGCCACCTTAAACTCTTTGTTGGTGCACATGATCTTCATCTGCAACAACAAAACCACAAACTGTCACCACCCAGATCACATCTTTGCAGACTGGCCCTTCAACTACATTTAATGGTACATTCAGGTACATTCACTAATTATTATGAATTAATACATAAAATACGAGGATTCTTAGTGTTAAATTAAATACTTGACCTCGAATGGCTGCCCTGGGACGAAGGGGAATTGCTGCAGTTCTCTCTCCTCTCTCCCCCAGTTCTTGCCGATGCAGCTGTTCCTCACGATCACCTTCTTGCCGTCCTCATTGAAGCGAGGGTTGAAGTGGAAGGCCAGGTCTTGGTCTGTGTTCAGATCCACTGTGATCCTGTAAAATAACAGAGACCGTCCCTGATCAGCTGAATCCACCTGTACTATAAAATGTTAAAATGTCCGTGGCACATTTAACATGAAGTGTTCATACAACCAGTTTTAAATCTGAAGTTATCACATATGGACGCGTGGTCAAGACCCGCTGGCGTCACTTTGTAACGCACTGGTGGCCCCATAGAATCATCTTTCAACGCACTGGGGAAAGCCCTGTAGTGTCACTTTTTAACAGTAAGGCAGGTAGGACTTTCGCCCAGGAGCCCGTGTTCCTCTCCAGTGTGAAACAAAAAGTAGTTTTGGTGCCTCAACCTGGCCGAGTGGTTTTGGTGCCTCAACCTGGCCGAGTGGTTTTGGTGCCTCAACCTGGCCGAGTGGTTTTGGTGCCTAAACCTAACAGAGAACCAAAAACATTGCTAAAGGGTACCCAGGGCATTAAAAAGTGACAGCAAGGGGTCTTGACCAAGCGTCCATATGTGAGGAGTTGGGAGTGAGAAAGTGTTCATACTGACTTGTTAGCATTGGGTTTGATGGTTCCAGCGATGGTGATGAGCAGTTTGTCATAAACTCCACTGGGAAGAGTCTGTTTGTACGGAACCACCTGTCAACAAGGAAACAGCTGTTAACTCCACCCATCCATCTACTCATCTGCCCATCTATCATCAGTCCTTCTGTCTGTCCGACTATCTGTCTCACCAGACTCTGTTGGGGGGCAGCAGGGACGCCAGGTCCAGGTCCAGGTGAAGGACTGGGCCATCCTCCAGGTGCGGTGGGTTGAGGTGAGGGACCTCCAGGCCAGGCGCCTCCACCTACAGAAGGACCTCCGGGCCAGGTAGGGTTGGGACCTGGTTGACCGGGCCATGCCGGGTTGGCAGCTGGTTGACCGGGCCAGGCCGGGTTGGCAGCTGGTTGACCGGGCCAGGCCGGGTTGGCAGCTGGTTGACCTGGTTTTCACACAAATACATCCTGGTTTATCAAGGATTTAACATTCCTGGAGGTCAATCAACAGATGTAGCTGTGGGATCTTTTACATCTAGCTCTGGTCTTTGTTTGAAACTGAATTTACACAAATCAGCTTCATGTAAGTTTTCTACACATTTGTTTTGGACCTATGAAGCCCTCTAAACTGCACCGATCACCATCAGGATTATACGTTTGTTTAGAACCAGAAGCCTATGAAAGATCAACACCTGCTTCACATTGGGGCCTTAAGGTATCAAATAATAATAATAATAATAATAATAATAATAATAAAAAGAAAAAGACGATGATGGTGATGATGACGACGATCGTACCTGGCCAGGCCGGATTGGCGGGCTGCCCGGGCCAAGGACCAGGTGCAGTTTCTCCTAATGACTGGCTGTTGCCACCAGCGGGCCAATCGCCAAGAGCATCTGAAAGCTGCAGAGGGAGAAAGAAAGGAGTTAAGTTCACTGACTGCAGCTACGCTAACATCCAACAGATGCTGCTGTGAAAGTTAAAACCTCCAATTTCTCTACAAACACAAAGACAGTTTAGTTTTTACACAACACGTCCAGCTCTCTGCAGATTCGCTGAGCTTCTTCCAGTGATGTTAGCTGCGTTTGACTTCATGCTGACTTAAGGCCCATTTATATTCCTGTGTAGGGTCTACGTGCGTACCTACGCCGTAGGCTACACACGTAGCCATGCATTTATACTTGTGCGTAGGTGTGTGCGTCATTCTGCAATTACAACCCAAACGCTAGTTCGGCAGTAGCGCTACAGCGTCCACTATGCTGACTTTGCCCGGTAGAGCAGGCTAACTTCTCACTAGGCTGAATGGGGGTAAAATTGTATATGTGCGGCTGGTGTAGCCTTTTCAAATGTTACTGACGGAGTGGATCACAGTCTGATAGCGAAACGAGTCATTTCGCTCGGGTTGTGACGGTCTAATATATTGATTCACTGTGTTACAGCCGCCGTTTTGGCCGTTAGCAAAGTTACTTCAATGCGCGGGGTACTTCCGGTCGGCTCAGAGGCATTGCGAGGCTACCCAGCCAACCAATTACAGAGCTTATGGTCCACGTTGACTCGACGTGTAGTTACATTTTGGACAGAGGCCAGCAGCAGGAAGTTTTATATTTTACAGTTTTCACACGTTATTTCATCACTAAATCCACTTCTGAGAAGTTTTGAGGTGAAATCAGCTGTGTAGATATTATAATATTGAAAGTTTTATGAGAAGTGATGGTGGAACAAAAGTGTGCTTGAGAGTTTTTGGAGTTGAGGAGCTCCGCGAGTGGCGGCGGGGGAAGCCTGCTGTGACCCGCGGGAGGAGCGTGTGAGGCCGGCCGGCCGCTCACAGAGCCCTCTGCTCCCGCCGCCACACAGACCGCTGCAGCAACAACGCCAGAGGAAAACACAGCTGGAAGCTTTTCATACTGCTTATCTGTCTTTACATTCTGAGGAACGTTCAAACGCTTTGACTTAAAAAAGAGACAGCTATGTGTGGCGTCGCTATGACGACAAGCTATGTACTATCTCTGGGTACTATCTGCAGTGGAAAACGGAGCAGGGCCGACTAGAGTGGAGGCGAGTCGAGCTGGTACTGGTGATGGAAAAGCGTCATATGTCCCTCAGGATGAACTTTGCTCTAGCGCCACCATCAGCTCAACATGTTAATGTGTCCAGCACTTTGCTTCCTGATCAAATCCCTGCAGAACTGATGACATTCCCATCAGCCTCAGCTGCCAATTAGCTAATGTTAGCATGCTTACACCCTAAACTAAGCCTCAGAGCTGCTAGCGTGGCTGCAGACTCAGTCCGTCACTAGATTTATTTTTAGCTGACTGATACAGTTTGTGTTCACTTAGTTTGCTTCTGTAGATTAAATGTAAAGTCACTACATTTGAGCTGCTTTACGCTCACACTGCTTTTCAGAAGCAAAGTGAGCAGCAGAATATGGAGTCAACCTCAGTTAACATGTTACAGCTGTGCAGATCTCCTTTAAATACCTGCAGGAAGGAGACAGACACTCACTGAACTGACACAAACTGCAGCAGTCTGGTGAGCCTGACTCAAATCTGTCTCTGAGACAATAAAGCTGCAGTAAACCTGTCCGAGCTGGCCCTGAACGCAGCACAGTTCTCAGAGGGTCCAGGGTGTGTGTGGTTGGCAGATTTAGGGCGTGTTTGTGACAGACTCATCAGGAATGTTCTGCATGAAGGCGTTGGTTTTATAGATGAACGCCGCCTTGTTGATCACACACACACACACACACACACACACACACACACACACACACACACACACTCCAGAGGACACTGACCAACATTCATTACAGACCCTAACCATAAACACCACTTACCTTTAACCTTCATCCTAAATGTAATTATTCATGTTGCGGGGACCTGCACTCTGTCCACACAACATGAGTAATACTCTGCAGCGTCTGATCGCTCTCTGAGTCAGTAAATCCACCTGACGACGCAGAGTTTCAGTGTTTACCACCGGTGGAACTTCGTGCATTCACCTAATAACGGCCCCGACATCGTCTTTAGTCTGGTTTCATCTCAGTGTGGCCCTGGAGAACTCCAGAGACCTTGGACTGTCTCAATAAACTGAAACCCTTTCAAACGCTGCCAACAAAGACTTTCTGTTGCTTCTGCCCTACACAAACATAATCCTCACTGCTCCACCTGTTCTTTCAACACGGCGCCAAGTGAAACTTCAGATTTTACAGAAGAACGTTTCACGGTCCAAGAAAATAAATAATTCATTTGATTAAATTCAAATTCATTTCTCAACTGTAGGTATTTATTTTACTGGGGGGGGGGGGGCTACAGCTGCTCAGAGACAGACTGGAGCTTCTTCTAATCCACTCCACCTCGCACACATAGAAGACGAGGAAAAAGCATCTTAGGATGGGTGGAGGTCCACAGGTATCACATAAAACTGACTGTACTATATGTACTAATATGTTCAAACCATCCTGAAATCAGTTTGAAGCACCGCAGAAGAAGAAGAGGACGCAGCGAGGTGACGTCACTAAAACTGCTTCACGTCCAGCAGCGTTTATTCATCAAGTCTGGTTCCTCTCAGGTTCTATTGACGCATGTGACTCAAGGTTCATGTGGATGGAAACGAGCATTCGTTCACCTTTTCTACATTTGGATCAAAGTGTTTTTCACTTTGTGGCCTTTTGCTTTTAGTGATCATCCAGTTTTTCCCTCTCCGAGGGGAACACTGAATGCAGTTTAGTGGTTTTATGCACAAACTGAAAAAGAGCATAAAGTCAGCTGGATGGAAACTCACTGGTGACATTAATAACTAGCTGCGAGTCATTAACCCTTTCTGTACTGCTGTGAACTCAAACTGGTTTTGTGCTGAAATAAAATGAAAAATCTCATTTCCTTTTTGTTAAATTAGAAAGTTCAGCTTGAAACGACACAATAACTAAAAACAGCAAATGAATCAGAAAATCAGTGATGAGCATCAGGAGAAAAGGTAAA